GTGTTTTGGTTTGACGGTTGGGCTGGGAAGTTGGGCCATTATCTAATTTATCTTGGGCCGTTACAATAATAAAAAAAAAAAAAACTTGACAACAAAAAAAAAAAGTGTGGGGTCATTTGATCCCACATGACCCCATGTGGGTCCGCCAGTGCATCGAATAAATATAAAAATGCAAAACAATATATAAGAATTTATGTTGCTAATTTTAAAATTGTTGATATTTTAAAATGGAATCTCAAATTCTACTTATAATTAAATCATTCTAGTACAACTAAACTCTTGTTCGATAGTTATTATTTTGAAAAAATAATGGTTCGAATAGTGATTTTTAAAAGAATGCGTGTTTAAAAAGTAGGGAAATAATTAAAGTTTACTTGTTAGAAAAAGAGCTTTCGAATAATTGTTTGGGCTAACTTAATTATTTCAATTTCAATTAATTTAAAAAAAATGTTTATCCTCAAACTTGCATATAGTTGTAAGCTTAACCCAACACGTTCAAGGTCGAGGGACAAACTGTCTCTTTCTCCGAGGTTTTAATATAATCGTAATTTATACTCTTATCGTTGTGTTAATTTTTATTTTTATTTTTATATTGAGCCTTATTTATCTGTATCAATCATCACAACAATTTATCGCGATCAGGATTCAATTCAATTTCTCCTTCTGAAGTCCAAATCCCCCGAGGTATCCTCAAATTGATATTTAGGAGAATCTCTATAAGGAATTACAATGCTGAAATAGTTATTGTTATTGTTAGTTTTTAAATTTATCAGATTAAAAGTTTTTGCATCCGGATATATATATATATATATAATTTTTTTGCTTGATTCGGTTTTGTAACTTTTGCAGTTGTGTTCCATTAATATTTTTGGATAAATGGCGAACAGGGTTCAGATCCGCACAAGCAGCTCAGCACTCATCGCCATGATTGCTGATGAGGTTACGATCTTATCGTTTTATGTATTTTCTGCTTTTACGATGGAAGTTGATGTATGCGATTTTTTACTTCATTGTTACGATGCTGTTGCCACTTCTAGTATGTTGCTAGTCATCCGTAAGAAGGCTTCTTTACCAATCAAATCTGCTTCATTCCAAATTGGATGCCAAATTTTAGTTGCTGTATGAAGGGTTGTCTGTCCCTACTATAGAACTGCAAAATAAACAGAGATGTTAATGGTCAAGGGAAGTGGTTCGGTGAGTTTTCGGGTAGAGGAGATTACAGTGAAGAACAAAAGGCATCACAAGAGGCGTGAGCTGTATAGCTCACAAATTGGTGGTACGTAATCCTATACAAATCTAGGAGTACTCCTTCCTTCATATCCATATAAGATTGGAGTAGGCCGGTTGAGGTCCTACGAGGTACCTAGTCCTCAGAGTACCCCCTGAGGTTGGATAAATATAGCCCTACGTAGCAGTCAATGACTTGCTATGTTTCCACAAGCCAAATTTGCTCTCATGTACTGACAGTCTTTAGCTACTCTCTTTCTTAGTAGAATGTTCATAATTTCTATAGAATCAACCACCTTCAATCATATGTGAACCGGCTAACAAACTTCTTTATTAGCAAAACTGAACTTGAAATTATATTTTTGGGCATCATAAGAGAAATATTGTACGAAATTGAGAGAGCAGTGGTCTAAAAATTGGTGTAAAGAAATGGCAAACTAGAAGGCCCTACTTATAGCCTTGGATGTGGTCATTCGTGAAGGGATCCGAGGGTTATGTTTGGACCAGATGGCTAGTTTGAATGTGAATTCGTTGAGCCAATTGGTGAAAACTTTAAATAAATTTCTCATAATAATTAGATTTTATTTTAACCCAAGGCCAAGTTGGCTGGCGTAAATGGCAAGCACATGTTGGGAATTGTCCAAACTCACCATAAGGCAGTTCATGTCCCCTTCTAAATGCTTTATGTCCCCGAACTTGGTCCCAATCATTAGATTAATAATCCCATTTTCTTCACAACCATTGTGGGATCTTCTCATTCTTTTTATTATTCCTTTCCTTTATTCTTCCCTTTTTTCAAATGATGAAGACAAGAGAGAAGGAATGAAGACAACGACTATTTCACTTCACACTTCAGGCTTCCAACACCAACAGTTGTCTTCCTTCGTTGGATTTTTTTTCTTTAGAAGGTAGAAGGAAATGGGAAGAAGAAGAAAGTAAGAAGAAAGGGTAGATTCTCACATTGGTTGAAAATGAAAAACAAATGAATTATTAATTCATGGTTTGCAAATTCGGTTTGGGCCTCATGACATCTAAGTTTCGGGAGTGGAGAAGACTTACCTCTTGGTGGGTTTGGGCAATACTCGACATTTTGTTTCATCACCCTTTGACTTAGCTCGGCCCATGATCCAATTACGGGTTTGTGTTTAATTAAAAAATTGATATAAAGTTTTCATTAGAAATTTTATTAAAGTTTTTACCCATTTTCTTTTGCTGAGTGGCTCAGCAAATTTAAAATTCAGTCTTGCCGAAGTGATGGTAAAAGAAAAGAAAATCCAATGAAACCTGAGTTTTGTGACTCACCCAGACTCGTAAGTGTTACCACTGCAAGAAGCTGCTCCAAACATTTTGTCCCTTCAATTTAAATTCAAAATTTGTGATTGTTGGAGGAAGCCCCCTTGTCCAGTTTCCCAAGCAGCGTGTCCCTACAGCTGAAATATCATCTCTTTCATAATAGAGACAACCTTTCATCTAATAATCTCGCCACTTTGTCCAGACAACACTTTCAAAGGGTTGTGGCCATTGAACGAATGGCCACATCTTAGGCTATAGAAATGGACATTTTTGGTTGCCATTTAAACACATCAGTTTAATATATTTTATCCCTCAATTGTGCAAAAAAAAAAAAAAATTCCTTTCTGTTTCTGTTAAACTAATTCTTCCAAGTTCCACAAAAACCATGAGTTCTGTTCTATTGGTTCCACTGTCATCGTGGTGCTATTTCACTTGGAATGATGCATTCTGTTTTAGGAGGTAATTTATTAAGATTCTAACCGTAGAGGGAGCAAATTTATCTTAAGGACACACTACAAAGTCGTCGGACTTGAAAATAAGTTCGAATTTAATTAGTTTACTTGTTTGAAATGGCTAGTGCATTTTCTGCTATTGGAGTTAGATGATTGGTACAACCTCTCACCGTATGCTTGTCCTTTTAGTTCTTCATATTTGGCTCTTCGTGTCATTAGTTTTCATTATAATTTATTTTTTGAAAAATGAATTTTACTATTAGGAGATATGGATTTTATGTTATTTTCTTCGCTTTATTTATTTACTTTTTGGGTGGGGCTTTTGGATCGACGGATTTTCTTGTTTTTGTGTTGGATCTTTTTTGTATTTAAAAAGAGTTAGATGATATCCTGGATACAACAAAAACGGATATACATCCTTTACATGATTAATGGATGCTAGGATCTCTAATTTCCAACATACTTGTCCAGTGTACAGCTTCAGTTTAGCCATCTTATTAAAAATGGATCCTGCTATGATCATGCGTTTGAGCCATTGTTACTTGCTTTTGAGTGAAACTAAGGAAGTTATTCGGTCATTGCCTAGACTTATGTTCACCTTTCTTTTATAGTACATTTTAATACGCCTTCCATTTTCTTTGGTTTCCTACTTCTCTTGGTAACAATTTTCGAAAAATTGAGCCAACATAAACATTATCAAGGACCAGGCAAATATATATCATAGTGAAGATAATAGTAGAAGATATTTTGGAATCTAGTTGAGATTGTAAAGAAAAGGTCACTTAAAATCATGCATAAGCATACAGATGTCCAGAACCCATGGTCAAAGGGAATTTAAAATTTTCTAGCCTTTTGAGGTGTATTCTCTGTTCGCGTGAAACCCGCAAGCGTACGAGTTCGTTGTACAAGTAATAATCGTGATGAGTGAGTTATCGTCCCACATGGCATAAGGCTCAATTTTAGAGTATTCTATATATTTAAATTCGCAAATGTAATAAAAGATAATTTATTTTTAGTTAACTACGTTCTATAACTATGAAAGTAATAAAAATCATTTTTAAATCAAATGAAGGTAAGTGTATTGGATTTCCGACTCCACTATTCAATTTTTAGTTTCAATTCTCAACCAGTGATGATCAATTTAATTAATGCAATTGTGACGATCAATAATTCCACTTTTATTTACTATTCTTTCCCAAGATATAATAAGCCTGTGATTATCACGAGACGATCATATTCCTAATCCGAATTCATATGACAAACGTGCATTTACGTTTAGGATTATCAAACATGATCACACACGGCATAAATATTATTCCTAATATTTATTGCCCATGTGTTCCATAAACAGTGTTTTACCTACCGTGAGTTTTCCAACACTACAAATAAGCAACTAATTGTCCTAATGATGCGTAAACATTAAAACAATACACTTATGCATATTTATGGAATCACAACGCAAGAATTAAATTAAAATCACAGTCTTGAATTAAAAACTAAAAATCAAATAGTCTCATCATCTATCCAATACAAAGGAATTTAGCCTAGCATGTTATAGAGATTAAACATATAAAAGTGGAATGACATCACCTATAAATTGGCGGAACGTAATTAATTCCCAATTTTCTTGCACAAATCGTTGATGAATTGTGTACAAAAATATGGAATTAACGCTTCAATTATGCTGCTGCCCACCGCGTCTGTCGTCTTTTTGTATGTGTTTAATCTCTCTCCTTCAGCTCTCTGCATGTAAGTATGTATCTCTCTTCTTCTTTTTTCCTCCACCCCACTATTCTATGTGGATATATATAATTATTGGCTGCCTTCAATGTGTGTAAATAATCTTTCTACAACCACAATCTTTGACTCAAATTCTCTCCAATTCAACCTCTCAAGGTATATATAATATATTATTTCAGCAGCCCAATTGTATCTCCTCCTTTGCACAATCTGCCACTTTCCAACCGTGATCTGTATGTGTATTCTCCTCTATGCAGCCACCGTCTAATGTGTGTGTATAATATCCCTCTCTCGCCCCCCGATTCTCCTTTTCTCAATTTCACCTGTGTGTGTATATATCTCTCAGCAATAGGCAGCTCTATCTTTTGTGGCCCAATTAAAATTTCAAAGGCCCAATTAATTTTGTATTTCTCCAATTTATCCACTCTTTCGAATTAATACAATTTAGTCCTTCAGCTTCTATAGTGTAGACTTTGATCTTCATTCTTTGGATTTTTTCATTTTTCGACACATTTTGCTTATTTTCTCCAATTCTTCATCCAACGTTGAGTTTTACCTACAAAATGCAATATAACGCAATTTAGGTTGTGTTTTGTCAAAAGAACAATAAAATTATATAGTTTTAAGCCCTGAATAAGTGTAGAAAATACACTTATCATTCTCCTTTCTAAGAACTCATAATCATGAGCTTTTCCGGACCCTTTGTTTCTAAAAATTCTTCAAGAGTTATATAGCCCCTATTTGAGTTCCATTATAGTCAGGTTTTGGGGAAAAAAGTATTTTTTAATAGTACTTTTTGAAGAACATGTGGTTAAAAAACAAGAGATTTTTTTGGGTTTATAATATTATTTTATTGGAAAATGTGTGGTTGAAAAGATTTTTTATGATCATTGTATGTGGATGAATCTCATTGCCAAAGTGTTCCCAAAATTCTTTAGTTTTTCTGCTAAACGCTCTTCTTCTGGAAAACTAACACAATTAAGTACTTATTATTGTGCGTATACAAATCATGTGGTATTAAATTTTATAAAGAACAGATTCGGCCTATCTCTTGTCTTGTTATACATTTATCAATGATGCCTTAAGATGGGGCATTGTTGTTCTTTTTTCCCAGGGGGGTCACCCATCATAGAATTGCTCCAAGCCAAGCACGCTTAACTGTAGAGTTTCTAACGATGGACTTCCGGAAAAGAAGGTGCACCTTGTTGGTATGAGTAGTACCTATCAAATCTTTTAAACTTTCTTGGTCTGGGTATTACAAACATCTAGCTGAAAGATTATACTATACGCACTAATACTTTCTTAAAAAAACATAATTTGTGTTGTTGTGGGGTTGTGCGTATTGGTGGAATGTTCTACAGGTACTTATTTTAGGTTTTGTTATTCATGAGTTGTATCTGCCTAGCATCATGGCCCAACTAAGGAAAAAAGTTGGCGTTTGAGCCAGGCTAACTTTACTAAAACTCTAGTTTGTCCCACACACGTAATTTCCTGGTCTACATGTTTATTGTGTTCTTTAGCTCCAAATCATTGACTTGAACATGGTTATTTGAAGCTCAGGTAAAATCGCTGAGATTGTATAAGAAGCATGAATTACTAGATATTGTTTTGCAAACTTTATGGTAATTTCTTGTTTCGGTTAGCTTTTGGAGTCCAAATTATTCCAGAGCTATTTGGAATGTTAAACGTTATCAGTCTTGTTACTTCTTTACCTCTGTAGCTGTATTAATGTTTCAGAAAGACAAAATTATTCACAATTATGGTTTTCCAGGCATAATCCATAAATTTAGTCCTGTTCATATTGAAAATTTGGTTTCTGTGATGATTTCATTACATTTGGACCATTGAAAGAGGGGAAACAATATAATTTTTTCAAGAGTGAAATGCTAACAATTAGCTTTTTGTAATGCAAGTTGTCAAAAACAAGAACCCTTAAATTTATTTTCTAGCTGAATTTGTAATGTGATTACTCTTGGCTTACTGAGGATTCCTGGTTTTGGTTCAGAAACTACGGTGAAACAGATTGAAGATGCTTTCAAAGAATTCACAACAAGGGAAGACATTGCAATAGTGTTAATCAGCCAATACGTAAGTTTTTTGCTTTATTTTGCTGCATCTTTATTTATCCTGTTTTATCATTTAAATTGATGAAGTGATTTTGAGAAGATGATACCAGCTAATGTGTCTCAGATGGAAAAAAAAATATACTTGATCATGCATGTGCGCAATCTGAACCAGGATGTATAATAGTTGGCAATTGTTATATCAAAGTAAAATTGGGAATAACATTGTTCATCGAGTAGGGATCGTGATGATATGTATTAATATGTTACCTATTATGCAAAATTTTCAAAAATAATGGTCTAGCTATAAATTAAATTTTTAGTAAATTTTGATGTTGAAATTTTGATAAAAATTGTGGATCCCATGAAATGTGTGGTTGAAAATGAACTTTAGAAAATGGGGGCCAAATAGGAGTTTAATGCCATAGATTCTATGCTTCATACAGATACTACCACTTGTTACTTGATGCATGTCCAAGTTTAGGGTGGATAGGTTGAAAATTTGTAATTTCCATCATTGTAGTTCCGCGAGAATCTTTGATTTTAATACATAATACATTGTTAGTTATCATATGCAGCTTAAAAGGTTGAACCAATTCTTCGATTTCAGGTTGCAAACATGATAAGGTCTGCATCTTTATTTATCCTGTTTTATCATTTAATTTGATGAAGTGATTTTGAGTAGATGATACCTGCTAATGTGTCTCAGATGGAAAAATAAATATACTTGATCATGCATGTGCGCAATCTGAACCAGGATGTATAATAGTTGGCAATTGTTATATCAAAGTAAAATTGGGAATAACATTGTTCATCGAGTAGGGATCGTGATGATATGTATTAATATGCTACCTATTATGCAAAATTTTCAAAAATAATGGTTTATCTATAAATTAAATTTTTAGTAAATTTTGATGAAAGTCAATCAAATTTGTGGTTGAAAATTTGATAAAAATTGTGGGTCCCATGAAATGTGTGGTTGACAATGAATTTTAGAAAATGGGGGCCAAATAGGAGTTTAATGCCATAGATTCTATGCTTCATACTACCACTTGTTACTTGATGCATGTCCAAGTTTAGGGTGGATAGGTTGAAAATTTGTAATTTCCGTCATTGTAGTTCCGCGAGAATCTTTGATTTTAATACATAATACATTGTTAGTTATCATATACAGCTAAAAGGTTGAACCAATTCTTCAATTTCAGGTTGCAAACATGATAAGGTTTCTAGTTGATAGCTATAACAAGCCTATTCCAGCAATTTTGGAAATCCCGTCCAAGGACCATCCATATGATCCTGCACACGACTCTGTTCTTTCGCGAGTGAAGTACCTCTTCTCAACTGAGTCGGTGGCATCTGGAAGGCGTTGAATTGTTCCAGAGAATTATACATGTCACTGTTCCTTGACATGCTGCTGTTGCCTTCTTTGTGTATTTTTTGAGTCAACGACAACTAGTTTTATTGCACTTAAAAAGTTATTTGTTTCATTATTTATTTTTTGTCCTGGATGAAGTATTGTTTGAACGTGGAAGATAATCTTTACTTTAGATTGTGTTCCATCAGTTGAAAAACACTTGGTGGGAGTTTCTGCTTTGGAAATAAATGTTAAACACGCTTGCTTTTGATCTTTTTCACCTCTCAACAACGGGTAAGTCAAACTTTATTCAAAATTTTATTTGGGTTTGAATTAGATATAATTTCAGCTAGTTAAATTTGACTAACGAAAACATTGAAGTCTAGAGCACAGAAAAGTTGTTGATGGGACTTGCATCACAATTAGTCCATATTTAGTAGAGAATTTTTTGTGAAAGTGATTTTTTTTTTAAGAATGTATGATTAAAAAATAAAAAATAAAAAAGTTACGAAGTCCTGCACAAAATTATTTTATTAAGAGAATATGTTATTAAAAATATTTTCGAGGAAAAATAAATTTTAAAAAATGGGGATCACATAGGGGCTTTATGATGCGATGTGGAATCGATGAATAGTGATTGAAAACTAAAAACTAAAGAAAATGGGAAGGGAAGGGTTTCTCCATCTCTTCTAGGTGTATTAAATTTTTTAGAAATTAAATGTGGTTTAAAATTTCCTAAAAATGCAATATAAATGACTTGGTTTGATAATGTCAAGTATCTATCATACTATTTTCAAGAAGAACAACATATAATTTTCAATACAAAGATAAAGAAAGAAAGCTCATGTATGATTTTGACTTAGGCGTAAAGTTCATGTACCATTCCTGTAATTAACTTGTTAAGCGGCTGTCATGTCATTGTCACGTAAACATCCCGCTTGTCGTTTTGATCATTCATTGAGTTTTGACCGACAAAAAATAAATTATATATATGTGGAATACAAATTTATAAACGCACGTATAATTTTAATACAAGATTAAGCCTCTGATTGGAGCACATTTTCAGTTCATTTGAAGAAAAAATATGATCATTAGCTGTCAAATTTGGGTCCCACCTATGAGATGAAGGTAAAAAAAATGGCTTCCTTTTCATTTTCAACGGTTATTTTTTTCATTTTTTTGGAATTAAAAATGTGCCCCAAACAGGACATAAGATTAAATTTTTTTCATACTTTTAATTGTACGTTATCCAAAAGAATCACTGTTCAAAATATTATTTTTTTAAAATAATGGTCATGAATAAATGATTTAAGTTAATAAGAGTCGGGATTAAAGCTACTACGCAAGCATGACGAATTGTGCATTTATCGGGGTGTATATATACACGATAACGTACTTCACAACTTCCAAAAATCCTAACCACTAGATAGAATTTTGGAGTTTAAACTCGTTAACTCACCTATCTATAACCCAGACCCAGTTAACTCAACCAACTCGCCGACGATGGCAAACCACCCAGGGGAGGACCCTTCCGACGATTTTCTCGAGCAAATCCTGGGGTTTCCGACGTACGGGGTAGCCGATAATAACTTGGCGGGAAATGATGCGGCTAGCTTGGCAGGAGCTCCGGCTTCGATGATGCTCCAGCTCGGCTTGGGTGACGGTTCGGATCACCTAGGCGGCGTCGGAGTCGGCGCATTCCATCACGGTGGCGTGGATGCTGGCGGTGGCTTTCCATTAGGATTAAGCTTGGAACAAGGAAGCTTAGGAAGGGGAGGGTTTATGAAAATGGACGACGCGTCGGGGAGTGGGAATAGATTCCGTGAAGATATTGTTGATCCCAGAGCGCCCCCTTCTGTTAAAGCGGTATAATTTCAGTATATTTATAGATTTTTAGCTAATATAAGTGATTCTAAATTTAGCTTAATTGAAATATTATGAATACATGTGACTCGAATTAGTTTTTGGACGAGATGGTTAACACAGTGTTTATATGAAAAATTATGCACAAGTCAATCAACTGGTTGATCGTGAATTCCCATGATCCTTGTCTATGAAGCTAAGAATTTAAGCTTTAACATGAGTTGGTTAACATAAAGAAATGACATTTTAAACGAGTAAAGGGCTTAATATTATGATTTTAATGATCTTTACATAATCCGTTTTAACTGTGGGGTCTTCTTTATCGAGATTGATACTGAAAATTCGGAACATAAAATGGCAGTTGCTATTTTTAGCCAGCACTTCTTCTTTTTGGATGTGTATTCAGTGATAGGATGGAATTTTGCCCCCCAACCCTTTGTTTCTGTAGGGTTTTCATGGATCACCTATGTCGACTAGGGTACCTTCAATGCCGAATCCACCTGCAATGCGCCCAAGGGTACGTGCTAGACGAGGACAAGCTACAGATCCGCACAGCATAGCTGAGAGGGTATGCTTCTTTGAATTTTCTGTTCTTTGTAGAATTTGTTGTGGAATGCTTATTTTCATGGATTTGTATCGTGTACTATGGGTTGTTTCGTGGTTTAGGGATCTTAAACTTACGGGATTTCCCCTAGTTAAAATTACGAAGAGGAAATAACAACATAAAACCTTCAGCGAACGGTGATTGACAGAAGTCAGTTTTTAATGAATTTTCATATAAGAGTGAAACAATTGTTTGGTAGTTATGTTCTAGTTATTCTTTGTCTGTTGGGATAGATGATCTTCTCTTCCCAGTCATTTTATTCAAAACTGATGATTAAAGGGTCTGAATTATATGTTGTATATGTTATTGGAGGAAGTGAAAATGCATATACGATTATGTTGAAAATATATTACGACCATAAATTTTGATGCAAAGGCTGAAGGCTGTTTCACTCATTTTACAGTCACTCCCATCTTATGTTTTCTTTCTTTATTACAGTTGCGCAGAGAAAGAATAGCTGAAAGAGTAAGAGCATTGCAAGAGTTGGTTCCCGGTGTTAGCAAGGTCTGTATTTTCTTGTACAATCTGGTATGCTAAAGTGGTGCAGTAAAATTCTCGTTGTTCAGTTTGGGATGAAAGGAACCAGATTTTCTAGTATTTAGACAAGATTTGAAGCATCAAGGTTTCATATGCTGCATTATTGATAAAACCAGGAAGTTCTAAATATCTGTTCATTTAAAAACTATATATCTTCCCTAACTTATTTTTTGTGCTTCCTTTCTCTCCCACTACAAAGCATGATCCTCATCTCAGATGCATAAATATGAAGATGGAGAGAGAAGTTATCCTCATTTAGTTTGATTGATATCTATACAAATGCTTGGTTTTCTTTTTATGAAAGATCACGTTTCTTAAACTTTCAAGTATGATTTATCAAGCATCAGCATCTGGGTAATGCATATCCAGTATCAAATGGATATGCATGTCATATTTTCAAAGATGAGCCTATACATTCTTGATCTGGGAAGGAGGTATTGTGACTTCTGCCCTCACTATATGTCCGTTGGTAATCTAACATCAAAATTTTCACACTAAAAAATCTTAATTCAATCTTATATATTATAACACAAGTAAATACTCCACAAAATGACCTGCCAAAGCATGCATAGTCAATCGTCTATAACATCAATATTGATTTTGATTTTGATTTTGATTTTGATTTTTTTTGTGCAACACATTTAAAGGAGCACCTTCGATGTGCTAAGTTGCTCTATAATTTTCCATAGCCTGTCTTATTCTCAATTGCATTGGGATAACTGTCATTTGGTTATGTAAAGAGTCCTTTGTTCACATATTTCTGTTAAAACTTTTATGCAGACTGACAGAGCAGTGATGGTCGACGAGATTGTGGATTATGTGAAGTTCCTAAGACTTCAAGTGAAGGTAAACAAATATGAAGCTGCGCTGCATATATTTTAATTTGTGCAGTTGTTATTCCTGTAAAATTCAGTATATCTCATTAAAGAGTAAAGCAGGGTACTCCATATTTTAGATGCTAAAATATATTGTGGTTTCACATCTTACAATATGCATATGGTTTCATGCACCGTTGCTGATTTCATTAATTGTTGAAGCATTTTTATGAATTTAGAACCAATGCCCAAATAGCATGTGGGGAACATAAACCTGCTGGCATTTGTAGGCAGACTTCTTTTCTTTTATCATATTTATGGTCATCTTGAACCTTAATCATAATCTGAATCTCATATTCGAATGCTTTTACCTTAACCCTGTAGTCTTTACATATTTTTGTTTTAGGGGAGTTATTGTTGTTGGATTATTGTGTTTGGTTTTGAAGTTCTACAACCCCGTCTTTTGGCTGAAAATATCTTCTAAAAGTTTATCTAAATTCTAGGACTTTGAGGCATGATGCTGGCCCCTTAATAAACACTGGAAATGTTAGAAATCATTTGATTTTGCCTTTGGATGCAACAAGATTTCTCTGCTGACATCCCTTCATTTCGAGAAACGGAGTGTCTAAAATCAGCTTTAAAGAATTTCTTGCACCGATGAATATCACACACATTCCTGCTTATTTAAACCATCAACCTTGCAGGTGTTGAGCATGAGTAGATTGGGAGGAGCTGGTGCGGTGGCACCTCTTGTGGCAGATACCCCCATATCATCAATAGAGGTGCTAAAGAAGGATCCAATACAGATTTTTTGTGCAGCAGTGCTCACATTATTTACTCATGCATTCTTTCTTTGGGGTTTATTTTTTGAAGGAAGAAAGCGGTGAAGGTGGAGAAACCCGGCCAGCCTGGGAGAAGTTGTCGAATGAGGGCACAGAACGACAGGTTGCTAAGCTTATGGAAGAAAATGTTGGGGCAGCCATGCAGTTTCTTCAATCCAAGGCACTCTGCGTCATGCCTATCTCTCTTGCTTCCGCAATCTACCACACTCAACCTCCAGACACTACCACACTTGTGAAGCCTGAAACGAATCCCATGTAACAGTTCTCCACAACTACATACATCCTTAGTCGCATCCCACCTAGAATTTCTCCTCGTCAATCCTCAAAACAAGTCACATCTTACCTAAAATCCCTCACAAGTCGATCTTTACAATTCAACCCTCACAAGATTTATTTTCAAATGATTTCAAAGTAGGATTCCACTATACCAATCTTCTTTACAGGTTTATTCAAGACGGTATGATGTCATTGTGTAAAATAATGGAAATGTACCCTTCATGTCATTTCTATATTCATATGGAGGGAAGAAAATGTCAAGATTTTATTGATATGCTCTGACTTTTCCTGTCAATGGTGGGACATGGAACTTTTCCTATGGATGGTGCGGCTGAGGCACTCGTTGGCTAGTGGATTTTGGGACCCATGAAAAGAGTATGCGTGTGACGTATTGTAATTGTATTTATATTTTTAGTACTAGTGGGATAGGTAGAATTGACTAAGGTTACTTTTGTTCCCCGAAAGTTGAATTTAGTGTCGAATAGAAATCAATTAATTGCATCAAATATTTTGACTTTCTCCACTCCCCTTTTATCATTATTGCTGCAAGATTATTGTGGGAAATTGCTCGAAGACAGTTGGATGGTAGGAAAAAAAGGGTCTTTTAAACTTTTTAATTCATCTTATGAAGACACCTTTGACTTCTTGATTCTAACATTCACCGTCTCCCCTTTAAACCATATCCCACCCGAGCCTTTTCTGGTGCGCCCCGCCTCAAATACCTCGACTCGACAGACCCTGAAGTTGCTTAGAGCAAGTGAGCAACAATTCCTAATGGTGTTTACGAGCTCATTGGCTATAGCCTCGTTAAATGATTATGGGAATCTATTATTGATTAAAAGTATGGGAATCTATTATAGTATGAGGCGGGTAAGTTACGCTAAATGAATAACACACATCAGAAGTCACAAGATGCATTCGACCTGAATCATATTAATTAACTGGAAAAACCTAACAAAAAAGAGGATCTCGAAATTTAATAAAAGTAATTGGCAGCTTACAACCAATGGGAGTGCTCTCAGCTTCAGAATTTTCATCATTATTAGGGACGACAATCACAAAAGAAGTTAACTAGTTCAGCAGGCATCCAGATCCCGGCATGGAGGAGCCTTAGGCTCGCTTAACAGTGTTGTGTTCCCACCTTCTGGTCCAGAATTGATACGATTTGGGTTTTGTGTGCCCCGCTGAAATATTTAGTTCATAGAAATCAAAAAACAATTTTTTTGAAAATTTTAATAATCACTCAATATGCTAAACTTAGTTGCATTACCGGAGGCTTTTCCCCTCTTCTCAGAGCCTCGACAATTTCCAAAACTCGCTTCGGAGTGACATCTTCCTGAAATAGTTGAGAGACATGAGAGTTCGTTTTTGTAATTTGCTGTAAAAGATTAAATCTGACATCAACGTAGATATACTTGACCACAGAAAACTATGTATGACATGAACTTACATAATAATTATAGGAATATCCTTCAGATCCATTGGAATAGTCAGCTACTGTAATCATAGGAGCATTTACACAACATCCCTATTGAAATCCAACAACAAAAAATTACATCATATATATCATATAAGCTCAACTTCTGAGACACATTATAACGTTGTATATAAATCTTAACCGTGCGAAAGTAAACAGTAACCATATGGTGTCTGAAAGAAACAGACACGAGACTTCAAGATTCAAAGAAGTGCATATATCAACATGCATCTACAGTACCACAAACAACTCCGTGTTATTAATTGACGACAGGTAGCAATGAAAATATTGTCATAAATTTTTAAGCAGCTTATCTTTGTGATTGCAATGGTTGTTGATAAGTGTAATTTTTATACTTATTCGAGGCTCTAAATTATGATATTTTATTGTCTTTTGAATAAAATTCTACCTAGTTTATGTTAAATTTGTATTTTCTAGGTAAAACTTTGTGTTTAATGAAGAATTGAAGAAAAGAATGCAAAATAGCGAAAAAATGGAAAAATTCATAGTACGAGGACTAAATTGGCATGAGCTGCACAAATAAAGTTATTTTAAGGATTAACTTGCATTACATGAAAGTTTTTGGGCTTGGAAAGAAGAGTACATTTAATTTGGAATTGGAATTTTATTGGGCCTCAAATTGGACTAGACATTGGCTGCTGGGAATTAGGGGATATATATACCACATACACACAGGAAAAGGGACGGTTTGGACGGCGGCTTGATATATTATATATACATTGGGGCTGAATTAATATAGAGGGGATATATACACCACGCAGGCGGCTGAAACTGGGAGAAAAACTGAGGCAGAAATATATTTATATTCACGCAACACACACAGCCGGCAGCAAAGTGGAGAATTGGGCTGAATTAATATATACACACACACAAACGGCAGCTGAACTTTGGAGAAGTCGAGGCAGTTTTTGGTGGAAAATATATATAATAAACATATACACACACAGGAAAACACACAGAGAAAAAGAAAAAGGAGAAGAAAAGTCCAACACGCACCGGCAGCTTCTGTGGAGATAAAAAAGGGGCTGAAATCATTACGCAGAGAGAAGAAATTGACTGAAGCTGGAGCAATAAATTGAAATTAATCACGTTTCGTCAATTTTTGGTAATGTCCTTCCACTTTTGCGTGTTTAATTTCAACGTTATGAGTGTCTAAATACTTTTATTGTTAGGATTGATGATGTAACTTAAGGTATTTATTATAAGTTTAATTTCCAGATTTTTATGTCATTTTAATACTTGTTAATTAATTATTGTGTGCTTAATGCTATTATTTGTTTGCGCAACAATTAATTGATTTAGGTATAATATTGAGATCGAGAGGTGATGTATTTTTCTAGCTCCTGCAATAATTAACATAGATTTTATAAGAGATCGAGAGATAATTATACGCTATGCGATCTTTGTTGAATTTCCATAGATAATGAGAGGTGATGTATAATTCTAACTTGTACAATAATTAACATAGACATTATAAGAGATAATTATAAGCTGTGTGATCTTTGTTGAATTCCTATAGATAAATACGTTCATATGTATGTGAATTTATATAGAGATATAATAAATTCGGGTATATGAATAGGATTAGTGTTGCTTGAAAGATATCACTAATAAGTTAATTAGATCGTTAGCAGGTGTGAAGAGGTGGCTGAATAAATTGGAATTAAATGTATGATAAATAACCAAAGTGAAATTGTAAATCCTATCTATCCAATCACATAATCTTTTCTACAGTTTTAATTTGAGTTCGTTATTTTTAATTAATTGTTTGTTATTTTATTTATTAGAACTTCATTTAGAAAACATAATTTGATTTGATCATTAGTTACTATTTTAATTTAAATTGAAGTTGGGTTAGTTTAAAAATTTATAGTAGATAGTAGTATCTATGAGACGATATTCGAATTTAATAAATCCACTTTATTACTTGTCACGATCCGTACACTTGCGAAATTTCACGAACAATTGTGCCACATCTTTCTTAGCAGTGCATATTACATCTCAATGAATTTTTTGAGACAGAAATTATGTTTTTTCATGACAGGTGACACTTAGAAGAATAGTGTTCCAATCTTTTGTGGAAGGCAGAAAGGAATATGTGAAGTCAGGATTAGCTATGCTGCTTTCTTCCCATATGCCATATCATGCTCCACCCTACATTTGCTCTAATGAGGCTCAGTTTTAATCCTAGTTATTCTATTACTAATCTTAGATGAGTAACCCCATAGCTGAGAACTATTCTACCACAATACCTGTCGCTAAGCATGACTATACGAAAAGTAAAATTTATATTCCTCTGCATCTATTGCTGGCCCAATGCACAGGAAAGTCAAGAACATCATAAGGCAGCCAGAAAAATATTGTTTTGGATCAAGAAATGAGGCTGTTAAGACTCACCATGCATTCCATTTCTCCAACAGAAAACAAGCCATCCTTGGTTACTTCTGCAAAACATGAATAACAATTCCCAATTGAAAAGAAATTTTTTTAAGGATCTTCCGATTTCCAAACTTAAAAGATCGTGGAAAACCAGAGAGGATTTTGTTATAAAGGACTGACCATTGCGCTTTACTCCAAGGTGTTCTAGCAATGCATCTTCAATTTCTCTAGAACCGCGTATCATGCAGGGTGTTGTACCACATACCAAAAGGTGGTACTTGCCAACCTGAAAGGCGAGTTCACCATGTAAGCTAAAGTTCATGTAACAATGATTGGCCCATACAACATATTTCATGAATTTTATGTAGAATATCTCACCTTTGTTCGGTTAAACATTGAATAGAATGTTGCAACCTCATAAACACGAATTGGAGCAACTTCAATAATCTTAGCAACCTTCGTTACAACAGGATAAATTACGTGAGTGTATAATCAAATGTACAGTAGTTAATTTTATTCATAAAAATACTGCACAGGAGCAATAGATATGGCACCACTTTTCAGAAATCATTGGATCAACATTGGACATGACATTGTTTATCACATTTCACAGTTTACACAAAATAACTATAATATGACTACAAAAATAGAGTGATCACAGGGACAACTAGCTCAATAGCTTATACTATTTTGGCAGGATAGTTATGAGCTAAGTTTACGTCTATTTGTCCAAAAAAATTTAGGGGAATATAGTTCAGCGTAACAGTTCTGATAAACCTCTTAGGGTCCATTTTGTATAGTTGTTGGGGGTAGAGCCTCTGAATCTATAGATTTCATCAGTAATGCTTCTTAAGAAAAGTTGTTTCTATAAAACACTGTTTGGTTGTCAATTCAAAGTGTTGTGAACATTAAATTAATAGTTTGGCAGCACACATGCTTTTAAATTGACTTGTCCATATTTCATAATAATATGACTAAAAATAATTCATTTATTATATTTCTCATCATTTTTTATAAATAATATTTAACATATAAAGAAACTAATATTTTAATTAAATTATCATGGCATAGTTATTTAATTTTAAATCATATTATTTAACACGAATATATTTGTCACTTTCATGTATAAAGTAAATCCAATGAAAACCAGTTAAAAAACAATTTATAAAATGTTGAAATAAAAGTTCAAATTTAACTTTATTTGTGTGGTTGGAGTGAATTTAATTTGAATTACGTAGAGTATTTTGAGAATGTAGGGAGATTTAAGTTTAGTTAATATTTTCTTCGAAGTTTATTGAAAAATTAATTTAAGGAGTTTCCAATTGTATCAAAAGATTCACAATTGTTCAGTTTACAAATTCAGGCTTACTCGAACATATATACACTTGTACGTAGAAAATTCATCAATCTCCAAGTACTTATTTCGTAAATTCACTGTTCATCTAAATTCACAAATTTTAAACTTATTTTGGATATGTTTGATATTTTTTTTATTTTTTTTAATAGGTAATCACGTAAATTTTATAAATAAAAAATAAAAGATAATACACAAGGAGTGCATTATCATGTTAAACAAGATAGAAACGATAAGAAATTCGGCAACCCTTCTATCGGACTAACGGTTGCAGCCTTAAACCAACTATACAAAGTCAAGTAAAACAATTCTCTAAATTGCTCTGTCGTCCGTATTTGGTCTTCAAAGCATCTGCCATTTCTTTCTCTCCACACACACCAAGCGATGCATCCTGGAATGAGATCCCAAACAAGCCTGCTATTCTTATCTCGAAACTTTCTCTTCCATGCCCACACCACGTCCTTTATACGCCTTGGGAGCACCCAACTCATGTGTTGCGAGGCTAAAATATCATTCCACAACCAACGAACACCATCACAATGAATGAACAAATGATCGATCGTTTCTCCATCCTTCTTACACAAATAGTACCACTCCGTTATACAATAGCCCTTTCTTCGAAGATTATCCGCCGTTAACACCTGTCCCCTCACGACCGTCCACAATAAGAAAGCCACTCTTGGAGGTAATTTACTTTGCCAGACCCTTTGCCAGGGGAATGAACTCTCAACAGGTTCCAATAAGGATCTGAAATAAGTACGAACAGAGAACAAACCATTCCGTGCCGCCCTCCACCTGCTACAGTCGTCTTCTCCAACCTGAATGTGCACCTCATACAGAGAAGCCAAAAACAATGCGTAATCATCCAGCTCCCAATCGTGTAAGCCCCTCCCGAAAGTGATGTTCCAGCAAAGGTTCCCATTAGATATAGTCATAACATCACTCACCATAGCTGAGGACTCCATGGCAATGCGATGTAAAGAAGGAAAACGCACTTTTAATATCTGATCTCCGCACCAACAATCGTCCCAAAATCTGACATTCGTACCGTTCCCCACCGCAAAAGCCAACCTATTCTGAAAATCGTTCCATCATTTCCTGATATACCTCCACAAGCTCATCCCATAAGAACCACGACCCTCACCCGAGCGCCACCCCCCCTCCAATACCCCAAATTTCTCCCCAATAATTTCTCTCCAAAAGCTTTCCCTCTCCATTCCAAATCGCCACAGCCACTTGCCCAACAAGGCCTTGTTATATAAAACAAGGCTCCTCAATCCAAGACCCCCCACCCTAACAGGGGAACAAACATCACTCCATTTGACCAGATGAAACTTCTTCTCTTCCCCCAACCCTGCCCAAAGAAAATCCCTCTGCAACTTCTCCAAACTATTTGCCACTGCAACGGGAATAGGAAACAATGATAGAAAATAGGTTGGAAGGCTAGAAAGCGTGGACTTGATGAGAGTAAGACGGCCTCCTTTTGACAGATAAATACGCTTCCACCCCGCTAACCTCCTCTCCACCCTTTCAAGAATACCATTCCAGATTTGTTTACTTTTAAACTTCGCTCCTAATGGAAGCCCAAGATATGACATAGGCAATTGGGCAATTCTACATTCGAGTATGGTCGCTAGTTCCTCCACATTAGCTACCTCTCCCACTGGAATAACCTCAGATTTGCCCAGATTTGCCTTCAAACCGGAAACCGCTTCGAAACACAGAAGCAAGCGACGCAGGTTCCTAAATTGCATATCGTCTGCATCACAGAAGATCAGTGTGTCGTCTGCAAATAACAAGTGGGAGACCTGTAAATGACCAACCGCAAAACCTCTTAACAAACCCTCCGTCGCAGCTTTCTCAATCATTCTACTGAATGCCTCCATCACAATAACAAACAACAAGGGGGACAACGGATCACCTTGCCTCAAACCTCTACTACTCCGGAAATAACCTTCAGGGTTACCATTGACTAAGACTGAGAACGAAACTGTAGAGATACAGAACTGAATCCACTTACACCACCTATCCCTGAATCCGCATCGCCTGAGCATATACATAAGAAATCCCCAGTTGACGTGATCATACGCCTTTTGAATATCAAGTTTACACAACATCCCTGGGGTCCCTTGACGTATTCTTGAGTCAATGCATTCATTCGCAATAAGAACTGAATCTAGGATCTGGCGCCCCTTCACAAAAGCATTCTGGAACTTAGACACCACTTTTCCCAGAACCTCCTTTAATCTATTGGCCAAAACTTTAGCAATGATCTTGTAAACCCCACTGACTAAGCTAATAGGACGGTAATCCTTAACATCAGTCGCTCCCGGTTTCTTAGGAATAAGCACAATGAATGTGGCATTAAGACTTCTCATAAACTTTCCACGTTCGAAAAAATATTTTATTGTATCCATAATATCTGATCGCACCACCTCCCAACAAGCTTTATAGAATGAGAACGAGAACCCGTCAGGTCCAGGGGCCTTGTCATCATTCATATTAAACACCACATTCCTAACTTCATCTTCCTCAAATGGTCTCTCAACCCAACTAGCATCCTCATCGGTGATAGTGAAGAAGTCCAGCCCCTCCAACTCAGGCCTCCACACAAACTGCTCTCGGTAAAGATTCTGATAGAATCTCACCTGCTGAGTCACAATATCTTGTGGATCCTCATACGTAACTCCATCAACCTCCAGCAGTGTAATAGAGTTATTGCGCCGGTTGGAATTAGCGACCCGATGAAAGAACTTAGTGCATTTGTCACCCTCCTTCAACCACAAGACCCTAGACTTTTGTCTCCAAGCAATCTCCTCCATCTCCATCAATTTTTCCAACTCTCCCCTTAGCCTTTCACGCCTCCCCCTTTCCTCCCCATCCAACCCTCGACTCTCCTCCTGCCTGTCCAACTCTCCTATATCTAACATACACTGATTTTTGCGAACGTTTATGTCTCCCACCACCTCCCCATTCCACTTCTTTAAATCCCCCTTCAAGGCCTTCAGTTTCTGGTGTAAAACATAACTAGGAGACCCCCTAAAATCATAAGAGGCCCACCAAGTCCGAATTCGCTCCCCAAAACCTTCAACTTTCAACCACATCTTCTCAAATCTAAAAGGTCTTCTTCCACTACCCCTACTAATCTCAGCTAATGAAATAGGAAAATGGTCTGAGTACACTCTCCCCAATCTCCTCTGAGTGACATCAGGGAACTTAGCCTCCCACTCACCACTAATCAGGAATCGATCTATCCGAGATTGAACAGGTCGATTTCGACTGGATGACCAAGTAAACTCTCCCCCCATCATAGGCAGATCCACCAACATATTTTCCCTAATAAAATCCGAAAAATCCTCCATAGCCCCTGTTAATCTCCCTCCACTCGACCTCTCAGAAGGAAATCTAACCACATTAAAGTCACCCCCAATGCACACTGGTAAATTCCACCAAGCCATCATACCAGTCAGTTCATCCCAGAGGCCCCTTCTATGCACATTTGAATTAGGCCCATAAACTCCAATAAACATCCAATTAAATCTATCCCCAACATTATTGAAGGAAAGTGATAGAGAAAATAACCCTACACTAACCTCATTCATATCAAACACTCTAGTGTCCCACATGACAAGCACGCCTCCTGATGCCCCTGAAACTCCAAGAAACTGATACCCAACATGCTGTCCCCCCCATAAAGAACGCACAACAGCCCTCGAGATGACCTCTAACTTCGTCTCCTGTAAACAGACAAGATCGGCCCGCCATCCCCTTAACATGATCCGGATCCCCAACCTCTTCCCAACTTCGTTGAGCCCCCGTACATTCCAACTAATAATTTTTGAAATCATTTAAACTCTCGTTCATCCCTCCCCAACACCCCTTTCTTCGACACCCCGCTTTTAATATCGTAATTTATCGAACATTCGAGCCGCTTAAGCTCACAATCCCCTCTTCTTGATATTTTATTAAATAAGAAGGATAATATTGCAAATATAAAAGTTTCATTAAATGGACATTTCAGCTTCCAAGCTGAATGTAGAGCTTAAGGAGAAGCTCAAACATGGGAGCTTCTCTAAATCAGCTCAAAAAATCTTCTTTTGGGTCAACAAGAAATTCTTTTACTGCACCAAACACTTCCGTTATTTAATAAAAAGAGCTTTTGCTCCCAAAGTAGAGCTTTTGGGCTTTGAAAAATCCCTCCTAAAAACATTTAAGCAAGCATACAAATATTCTTGAGAAGCATATTGAATTCATGAATATAACACCACCGCAGAACAGGTATAATGCTCATTGCATACTGTCCATATAGCATAACAATCTGCAAAATTTTATTGTATAACAATCTGCATGACATTCATGTTATCAAAAAACTGAAAGGCACAGAGAGAATATCCAAATGCAAATAACCATCCTACTTGCTTAATGAAGAGGAGAAATATACTATCTTCATTTATCTATTTAAAATTTGATAAGAGCCACCAAAACTATGTATAAATCCTCCCTCTTTGAAATTGGTTTCTCACAACTAGGTCTCCCACTCAACCTCCCTCTAGTACTTTTAATTAAGAAAAATTGTTCAAAATTTTCTGCTCAATGCCGATGTGCATACAAAATAAATTAAAATTGAGGGTACATGGCAATCATTTAACAGGCACCAATTAATAATCTAAAAATATCTAAAAATTAATAAAGTAATTAAATGGATTGAGTGAAAATCGCATGACAGTCAAACGCAGACATCAATAAAAGGAAAATTTCCCCACAAAATTATGCTTGCATGATCTAATTTATTCTCTCTAAGATGATAAAAGTTTTACTTTATCAAAAAGAGGGAAGGGATCAGATAATATCATAATAAGTTTCAGTCTTATCAAATAACGAACTTTTCTTTTAGCACATTGCAAGGTGTTCAAGATCTACCACACAGTGTACTCCACATTAAATTACTAAATTTTGAAAAAAGTTTTGTAATTTCTAGCTTGAATTACTCAGAAGTGTATCCCCTTTAGGCAGGTTAATAAGCATTGGTTGGCTAAAAATTCATCTCAATATCTTTCAGGAGCAAATTTTGGCCTAATTAATGCCTTCCCTGTAAGGATATTTCATTGCACGAGTCTGCTGCTGGTTAATAGGTATCATCATGTTTCAAAAAATAAAGCGCACAGCCATACAAACTAAAGTAGACTAGATTTAGCACTCATGCTAGTTGAACGTTGATTATGCGTCAATGTGATTCAAGGTTTCACCTGGATACCCTACAAATGCTATCTTCAGATATAAAAGAAAAGAAAGAAAAAGGTAGTAAAAATGATGTCAGCTTACTGCATTCATTGCCGAAACAGGAAGCCACCCTCCATGTTGCTGTTGTGCAAGATCCAGTAATGGAATGACGGCAGATTGTTTGTAGTTGGACGGATAGTGAGATATTATTTCCTTAACCTGTGCAACACCAAAATTCAATGACTCTTAGTATACAAAATCTTAAAAGATCCAGTACCGAATATCTACAGATTGTTTCCTGATAATTAAAAAATATCTTCTTGCCGATGCGTAGATTCAAAATATGGTTGTCTTTTGAACAAAATTTACATGCATCAATTTATAAGTGAGTACCTGCTTATGAAGTGCAGACATTGACACAAGTTCTGTAGAAAATTGGAATGTGGAGACAGTGAGAATTTGGAATGTTATTGGTAGATTACATTTTGGTATTATCAGTCCAGATTACATCTAATGACAATTACTTTCAGTAGTAAAAAGCAAGGTAATGCATTTTCAAAATTCACTCTCAAATTCTTACTGTTATTTTTATCAAAATTTTCATTCCTTTATACAACTCACACTGGAAAGGTCCTGTAGTAAGATCGGTTAAGCTGTATTGTATACCAACAGGTCCTAGATGATGCGCTCCAGGCTTGAGGATTCAATTCTGACTGTCTCATGTTACGTGACATGTTTTTTGTTTTGGGTTGTCTTTAAAAAGACACTTTCCACACATTCCAATACTGAGATTTATTAAAAAATTGAGAAGAAAACGAGGACTATATACTAATACTCATTTAACAGTAAGTGATAGAAGAATTTGAAATCCGAAATAGTGATGGTGAGGAGTCAATCATAAGGGAACTTCCCCAAGTGGTGAGATGCCGAACAATGTGAGTTAGAGGATGAAGATTATGCCACTACAAGGCAGAACATCAAACACAATAAGTTTAATACACGATTGAGACGAATATCAACCTCAATTTTTCGAATTTATGAGCTCATAGTGGCATCATTGTGACATTATACAAAAAAAGTTGAGGAATTCACCATCACCTCCATAAAATATGACAAGTGGTTAGCTTTTCGTTACTCTAGACTTGTCAATTAGCCAAATCATGCTCAATAAAACCATAGAACCTAGTTTTTCTATCAAAGATAACAAGGGGATTAGGCCAATACAGAATGCCTTCCGTATCATCCCATTTATAATTTATTGGTCCATGCACTTGGGATTGAAAATTCTAAGAAAACCAAGGTTAGCCAGCAGTTCACGATTGAGAGCTTATCTCGCTTACATAAGGTAAAAACTGGACTTGTTAATAGATTAGCACACAGAATGATGCGAATCATTCAAATTGTTATTGTTATAAGGAAAACTGGAGCTGTTTGATGATCTCGATAGATGAATGCCGCTAACCTTTACTTTGTTTGTATCCGTGAATTCCCATGGAAGGTCTGGATTATTATCGGGAGAATCAATGTGCTGCATTAGAAAATACGACCAAACAAATTCTCATCAACGTTGGAAAAATTACAAACAAATGTAAACTAAAAAAATTATCAACTTACGTAGTTAAGAGCTGTTGAAAATGATCTCGAAGCCTGTATAATACACCGAAATTAATTCTATAGAAGTCGGGAAAAAATCAAAAGCAAAAATTAGAAAAAAAAAATAAAATAGAAATAGAAGACGACCTCAGGGATTCGGCAGAACGCTTGACGGATCTCATGGAGACGCTGGGCGGCGAGACGGCCGATCATTTTCGTCTTGAATTTTGACTGCTCTGGGTGAGGCTCTAAACTCAAATTCGGAAGTGCAGAGGGGCCGAGAGGGGGGAGAAGTGTCCAATGTTTACGGGGCGCGTAGTGCGCCCACGCGAGCTTGGTTTTTGGACGCGGGTTTTACACAAGACCACCAATAGGTTCACCGATAGGTTCGGCCCACTATATTATTTGGGCTCTATCCAGTGGCCTGAACTGACTTCAAGAATCTGTTTGATAGACAAATATGAAAATGAATTCTAATTTCCTGTTAGTTAAAAAATAAAAACTCACCAAATTCATAAAAATTTATTTTCCATGAAAACAAAGAAAATACAATTTAAAGTGATTGTACTTTAGAACTCGATTTTTATTTCCATGTTGCAATCAAACGGTTAAAATTGAATTTGTTTTCCTCGAACATCACATTTTTCATAGAATTCGTTGCAATCAAACAGACCTAAATGTTAAAAATTACCTTCAATAGGTTCGGCCCACTATATTATTTGGGCTCTATCCAGTGGCCTGCACTGACTTCAAGAGTCCGTTTGATAGACAAATATGGAAATGAATTATAATTCCATGTTAGTTGAAAAATAAAAACTCACCAAACTCATATGAATTCATTTTCCATAAAAACAAAGAAAATATAATTTAAAGTGATTATACCTTAAAATTCGATTTTCATTTTCACGTTGCAATCAAATAGTTAAAATTGAATTTGTTTTCCTCGAACGTCACATTTTCTATAGAATTCCTTGCAATCAAACATGCATAAATGTTAAAAATTACCTTCACATCTATTTTCTAACATTCTATTTCCAATAATCGAAGATTTTTTTTCATAAATGAGGACCCCACAATTGAAACAAACGCACACACTCTCTCTCTCTCATGTACAAATACAAATATAAATGCAAATTAAAATTAAAATATGGTGAATATTATAGATATAGGATTAATTTCACAAATGGTCACTGAAATTACCTGAAAATTTCAAAACGGTCACTGAAATTTCAAAGTTTTAGAAACGGTCACCGAAGTTTGAAATTTCTTTCAAAACAATCAGTGAATTTTCAGATTTTTTGGTCAAGTTTGAGGCAATTATTTGGCAACNAATTTTTCGACAACTTTCGACCACCAAAACCTTCGATTTCGGATACCGTTAGAAAACCTACAATGTCCTCTTCAATTACTATCAAAAATCTCTCCAAAACTCCAAGTGATTTGGTCGGAATAAACCCACAATGTTAGCTACCCAAACTGGGCAGATTTTCGGACTTTTTTGGTAGTTGAATTCGTGGGTTTATTCTGGCCGAATACCTTAAAATTATGGGGAGATTTTTGGTGATAATTGAAGAGGACATTGTGGCTTTCCAACGGTATCCGAAATTGAAGGTTTTGGTGGTCGGAAGTTGTCAAAATATTGCCTCAAACTTGCCCAAAAAATCTGAAAATCTTGGCAGATTTTCACAATTTTCGGTTTCCGACTTCGTGAGTTTATTCCGGCAGAATCACTTGGAGTTTTGGGGAGATTTTTTGTGGTAATTGAAGAGGACATCGTGGGCTTTCCAATGGTATCCGAAATCGATGGTTTTGGTGGTCGAAAGTTGTCGAAAAATTGCCTCAAATTTGTCCAAAAAATCTGAAAATTCAGTGACCATTTTGAAAGAAATTTCAAACTTCAGTGACCGTTTCTGAAATTTTGAAACTTTAGTGACCGTTTTGAAATTTTCAGGTAACTTCAGTGACCATTTGTGAAATTAACCCTATAGATATAACTACTCATTTGTATGTTGAATTTATAGATAATTTGACAATTCTAGTTAGTAAAATTAATCTAAAAAATATTTATGTTGATCATATTATGTCTTATACAACAGGATAAGAGTTAAAGGGAGCGATATGAGATTTTTTGGCTTAATGTAATTCTCTCAATAATCGTGTTTTATTTCGAAGAATCGTAATTTCACAACGTGTTCACAAAAATTGACGAGGTTTAACGGGTGGGCATCCGATATGAAGTGGAAGGACATCATATATGAAGTGGATGCCGCTAAATGAATTAGCAATTATGTAATATTAGTTAACTTAAAATGACTAAACGAGTCTCAAAGATACTTTCATGACCCAATTTGAAATTTCACTTGAACTTTAGTGACCATTTGTGAAATTAACTTTAATCAAATATCTTTTCCTCTTATCTCCGCTTCTTCGGAGCAAGCAGTGTATCCAGTTCCAATGGCGTTAGAACAAACTGCAATGCTAACCAGAAACACCCTCTACTGCACCCCAAAGAACCCTTTACCAATCTCGTATCTTCCCTCACTTTCCCAAAGTTTTCAATCTTTATCCATTGCGACAATTTCAAACCGAAGCAAACGATTAGGTTCAGTAGGCAGAATAAGATGCACATTTGATTACAACAGTGCTGGAAGCAATAACAATGGGGTTTATGAATACGAACGGTTTGCTGTTTCTCAATACCCGAGGCCCTCTGAGATTCAGTGGAAGAAAGAGCTTTGCAACTCCGTACAACTCATCGGAATTGTTGCCACCCCTGTCCAAATCAAGCATCTTCCTTCCGGAAAGGTCCTAGCTTGGTCTCGACTCGCCGTCAAGAAATCACAAAATGAAACGGTTTGGTAAAATCCCTTTTCACTTGATGTAATTGTTTTTTCTTTTTTTTTTTTGTTTTCTAAAAGTTTCTTGATATGGTTGAAACCAGCAAAACCCACGAGTTTAATCTTGTTGCCACCTGTTTATTAATTTTTTTTTTACACAGCTCTGGTTAAAAAGTAACCCGGTGCCTGTTGAGGAAAATATTTAAGCCTTTATATTAGATGGTGAACAGATATGAGATGGTGGCAGTTTTATGAAGAAAATTGATACTGGAGTTGGCTTAATGTCTTGCTGATCCTATCAACTTTGGGTTTTTGTTTCTAGATTAGTACTTTCTAGTGTTCTATAAATGAACCCACTGGTACACTATGTAATTATATTGTGATGATTTGTTCAATTTTATTTGGATATCAAATCATCAATGTTTATTGGGATATTTTTACCCTTAAACACGAATCTAAGCTGTAATTAAGTGCTTTAGGAAAAGATGCTACTCTAATAGTTTTTTATATGATTGTATCGTTCTTTTGATTTTCGAGCAATAAAATTGATGAAGAACGTGCCTTTATTATTGGTGGTGAATCTGTGAAGTGTAGAAACTAAAAACAGATCGTTCAGTGATCCAAGTCTCCCTTCAGCTGTTGAATGGGGACCTTGGTTCAATTTCTTTGAATTGCCCTAGAAAAACACCATTTCCAAGCAGCTACATATTTGTACTAATGTATAACTCCGTATTACCATTTCAAATGCCTCCCAAAGGATAAAGATTTGGCTGTTTCAAGATTGTTTAGTTATGTCTTCATGATTTCAACCATTGATAAGCACTTGAAATTTTCACCTATATACAGTATTCTTTGGAAATGTTTTAGTTCCACTCATATGAAAGTTGATCGATTAACATGATGGTTTTTACCTGCTTATTTTTGTCTTTGCTGCCCATGTGAAGCTATTCCAGCTACAATTTCATTATTACCAAACATAATACCAGTATATCTTGCTTATATTTTCAGGATTAACTTGGCATTCTGGGATGAGATGGCGCATATTTCTTCTAAGCATGTAGAGAAAGGTCAACAAATATACGTCTCTGGTCGCCTCGTCTCAGATACTGTTAAAAATGAAGACGAGACCCAGCAGACCTATTATAAGGTTTCTGGCCTCTCTAATTTAATATTCCTGGAGATCTCGGGGAATTATTTTCTAACATCGCATTTGTACTATCTGTTATTATTTTTGTAGGTAGTAGTTCAGCAACTAAATTTTGTAGAAAGGGGCCCCTCCCCAGTTTCACTGTACAATGGTGACTCCAATTCCCCGACACCAGGTAATTATTGTTCCCTACCCTCTTCTCTTTGCATATTTTGGTCTCATTTGCTAGTATGGATCTCTCAATAAATTCTATATATTACCTTGCAGGTAGGAAGCAAAACAATTATGCTGCAAATACTACAGGTTCCACAGAAGAACTATGGCAAGCTTTCTTTGCTAATCCATTAGAATGGTGGGATAACAGGAAAAACAAGGTAATCTCTTTACTTCATGCTTAAATGGATATAGACGTTATTTTTTCAGTGCAACTCTTTATGGCAGCATTTACTTCTTGCTCAAAACCTTCATACAACTTGAATAGCTCTGTGCCTGTGCATAAGAGTATGGCATATCACACTTTTGTCCTTATCCTGTGTTTTAGATTCACACACACGGGAAATTCCAATTACTGGATGTAGAGGATAAAGTATGCAGTAAGCCTCTGGAGAAAGTGATGTAGGGTAACGCTAACTATAAGAAAATGAATTTGTTTTTAGATATTGCTAGTTATTAGGAGTTCCTTATCTTTCTTAATTTTTTATTAGTACCAGGTTTATAGTTAATTTTCCTTGTTTTGGTGGTTATCATGGTTTTAGTAATACTGGATTCCTCTTATGGGTATTGCCTATATGGCTATATAAGAAGAGCAATGTCCATGTTTTCCAATTAGTAAATTCTACACATTCAATTAGTTTGATCAGCCGTTCGGGAAAAAAAAACAGTTCCATCAAGATTCTTGAACTTTTCTCGTGTCTTTGAAGTCCTAAATTTGTTGCCACGCCCAATTAGTACCAAATCATGGAGCTGGTAGTTAATGTTGGTGATAGCTGTAAGCATCTTAATGACAATAGGATTGAAGACTGAGAAAACTTGTGCCAGAAAATGGAGCAGAGGTTTATTGGAATAAATACACTATCATCACAAATGGATAGGCTTTGATTGTGATGCATTTTGGCGTTGGCGCAGAGTGGGCAGAGCACAAAAACTAGCCACTGCAGATTTGACTCCAGGTCCAACTTTGTTTAACTACCAACAACTTGATAACTCGGTTCAATATGATGACCTACTCAGACACAACTGTCGAACCACGTGATGTTAAAGCTTAGGCTGTTAAATCAAGCCAAATGTATAGCACTTAATTATTATCTTCAACACAGCCCCTCATGGGTGAGGATGAGACTTGAACCAGGACATTTAACCGCTAGTACACCATATTATATACTATACTGAACTACTTAATCTAAAAGTTTAAGCTGTTAGATTGAGCCACTGTAAAAATTTTATCTTCAACATCGACTATCACCTTGACTGTGATGTCCCACCTCAATGCAACAATCAACCTCAGTATGATGGCCCGTTCAAGCACGATAACACAATTCAGCACAACGAAATCCTAGTAGGGGCAGTGCCAACAATGATACACCGATAAATGACCACCAATTTCTCCAAGATTAAGACCATTCAAACGTACTCGGATTATTCCTAGAAGATTGTATACCATCTCTGTCTCTCTGTCTCGACAGTGACTTATAGTTGAACAACACTATATATAGAAGAATGTTTTCCAAGCTACCCAAGTCTCCAATAAGGAATGAAAATTAGGTTTTCAGAACAACCATAGTGATGTGCAATCATACAACCAACAGCAAGCCAGAATCACCTATAACCGTATGCATGAGGGAGTCTTGAAAAATGATTAGGAGTCCTCCGGGGAGATCTGTGAACTTTGTAAAAGATGAATGGTATATTAGCAATGTACAGGTAAATGTTGAAGTGGATTATGAAGGAGCCAAATTTACTTAAGGAGATGAAGAGGAATTTGTTACTTGCATTTTGCAACTGCATTTGGATCCCAAGAGGGATAACGATTAGAAGTTTCACGAGATTTTTGAATGCAGCTTCGATGACAAACCATGCAAGGGATACACGGTGGGAGTAGTGAGAATGCGGTATCTAAGTCCCGAGTAAAAGCTTTAATGAAGACGAAAAACAATCTTTTCAATAAAGGATCTGGTGGATTATAAAGGGACTAGAGGTCTAGATAATGGAGGTATATAGAATCTCACTTTCTATTGGAAGTACTATAAATAAGAGATTGTGCACGATGAATGGAAATGGATGCTTGCCACGTACTTTTGGGGTGACTGTGACACTAAAATGTATGCATCACTTGCAAGGACACACGCGACACTTCAATGTTTTGGTGGTATGACGGACAAGATAGTTTTGATACCTCTAAAAAATAAATGGAGGTTATCGATGTTCAGCGAGTAAATCAAGAGGTGCTAATCTGAAGTATAATGTTAAAGCTGACAATTACTGTCATAAAAAGGTCTTTAACATATGTGATCTGGTGATTATTCATTTGAGGAAATTCCAAGCATGCAATTACAGCAGTGATAAAAGATAGAGAGATTAGGTCATTCCGAGTTTTTTAGTTCCTAAATAATAATTCATTTGTGATTTGATTTTCCCAAGGGGGTAGAAAAATTTCTCCTACGCTAAATTTTAACAGAACTTTTTAAGTCATTCTTCCTGACAATTGTTCCTATTTTCCTAGGACTCTTACCATTACTTTTCTTATTTTCCTTCTTATTAGTATTATTGCTACTTATTTTTCTGAATATTATGATTTTATTACTATTATGACTGCACAGTGACTAATGCCGGACATAACAAAAGGGGTGTCCATGTTTTATGATAAATCAATTCTACATATTTTCATTAATTCAGACCAAGATTCTTGAGCTTTTCTCCGTTTCTCCAAAATCTAAATCCTACTGTTGCACCAGAGGTTAACATAAAGATCTAACGCTGCAAATATATTTTATGCTCTAGTACAATGCACGTGCTTAAATTATTCATTTGTATCCGGATTTCCTTTCATTTGTTTTCAACCATTAAGATATGTGAAATTTGCATTTCGTATTGTATTTGTGATTACAGAGGAGCCCAAACTACCCAGACTTCAAGCACAAAGATACTGGCGAAGCATTGTGGGTGGAAGGCAGGTATAATCCACCATGGGTGAAATCACAGCTTGCTATACTGGATTCAAGGATGGAATCGATTCATGATCAAAGTTCTAGCATGCATGTGAACTTCATGTCTACTGATAGTCTTGGGCCATTTTAACTGCTTATCATGCCCAACGTACTTGTTACTTCTTGATCATAATTTCCCCTGAAATTTTTATTTGGTATAGTTTTGATTTTTTAGGATATGTTTTGAGTGCTTGCATTGGTATGCATTTTTCTTTGAACTATCTCGTCTAAAAATTTAGATAGATAGAGCGAATATAAACTTATTTATTTAAATTACATATTTTATCTTGTTCTCTCATTTCCATCAAAGGCTTAACAAATGCACCATCTTCATAAATAAATGGGTAGGATGGGTTTGAACTTCAAAACTCTGTCTACTCTGATACATGTTGAACCATTTCATTTCGAAGCTTAAACTATGGAGAAGATAAACTTGTTTATTTAAAATCTGTATCCATTGTACAGCGTGGATGATTTTTGATATCGTAAAAGTAATTAATTATTGATAAGTTATAGAAAATTCTTTCTTAACCTTTAACCCTCTTTGAATAATTGATTCTTAACATCATACTTTTGTTTTTTAAAAAACTTTTCTAATCAGACAAAACACTTCTAAAAAATAATACGAACGTGTTTGAAAGTAGCTTTTTAATATCAGAACCCCTTTTTTGCTTTTCAAAAATCAATGCCAAACGGGCCATTAGATGTGCCAAGAGAAGATTCTTTCAATCACTTGAACAATTCTAGATCTCGAATAAATTCTGCCCGAACGATGTAGTTGTGGTCGTGAAAGATCTAATTGTATTTGATCTTGTAGTAAATGTAGCGATGAATGAATAGGAATTAGAAAAGGAAGATAAATGTACGTAAATCTGAAATATGTTGACAATTTAATTATGATGTGTTCAAGAGTTTTTTCTTAAAAGAGTAAATTTTGGTGAAGATTACAATATGTATTTTGAGATATTATACTATGTATACTCTATAAATACATACAAATCCTCAAAAAGATGGAAAAAAAAAAGAGGAAAAAAGAAAAATGAGGCTATCTTTCAGATGTACAGATCTAAATCTCTCTCCTGCCCTAAACCATCCATGAATTTGTGTCCCTCTCCAATTGTATATCTCTGTCAGTGTTAAGATAACATGGATTATTAAAATTCTGTCTATTGTATTGTTCGATGTCGAAATAAATGCAATAGCTAGATGATGATGAGCAATATCGGTCACCCAGAAACTTTGTGTTTGTGGATGAAATCCGCCAAGATGTGAATTCTTTCCGAGGGCCTTGTACACGCCGCCTGTTGTGAGCTGACCATGCCCGAAGTCATTACCACCCCCAAAGAACCATAGCTAAGAAAGGTTTTCTATAGACATGCCAACCCTTTAGCTTCTGACCCTTTCATTATCCTTAGCCTCTTGCAAGAAGTAATAAACATATCCCATGGAACATCCCCAACCAGCATCCAGTCACCATCTTTGTCTTCATAAGTTGGTGCAAATTCAGATCCATTGTACCCTTCTCTCTCTGAATACACCCCTGAAATATACAAAGAAGAAACGTAAATTTTATGTCGACTGCATGGATATGTTTTAGCATGCTTAGCAACTATAACAGGTCATGTTCTTACCGATCGAGCATTTGAACATGTTCTCCAAGGCCTTGAGCAGATCTGGGTATTTTTTGTAAACCTTGAGATCAATCTTCCTTAGATAAGGAGCTCCATCCATGCTCACTTTCACAAACATCCCAGACAAATCTGATTCATTTCTCTGGTGCAGGACATTTTTCCGGTACGATCTAACCGGTGGCCAGCCAACTACTTGTGCCCTAAACATTAAAACGTAATTCGATAAGAGCATGTTTGATATGCAATACTACGTCAAAATTCGAACTTAGTTCTTGGTTAAAAGTACTTACTTTGGAGCCGGGGAACTTTCTTGCTCGTTCTTCTCACATGAATTATCCATTTCTGCTGAAGATCTCTTGTTGTTTCTTAAAGATTGTTTCTCAGATGATTCATCTGTGCCTGGTAACCCTAATCTCAATTCAGTTGCCTTCAAATTGAGATCATTTTCATAAGCTGATGCTCTTTCCATCTTGAAAATAGAAGAACCTATTTAGGGTTTGTAAGATTCTACTGAATCAAGAAAATTTTAATGGAGAAATGTGGGTTTGAGTAGTGGAAAATGGGAGGGTTACAAGAAACTTTTATAGGATGATTGGAGGTGAGACAATGTCTGGGTTACTTATTCTCCGTGTGCATGGGTTTCATAACATCAAAATCACGAGTCATGTGTTTCTCATCACGACCAAGATCAATCAACTCCTGTTGAATCATTTTATTTAAAAGTTTATCGAGAACCGACTTATAGTGAATACCTAATCATCGAGAGGTGAGGAAGGTCGACACGACGATAAAGTATTTAAAACGAGATTTATTTAAATTTAATTTATAACACGTCTTACCATGTAGATTACATTCACATTTCTTGAATACAAGATTTGAATCACTTTCTTCGAAAGTTTTGAGTGGGACATAAATTAGTTAATACAGCTACGTCTGCTGGTCAAATGAACGACAAATTAAAGTCTAATGTGGTGCGAAGAGGGAACAAAAGTGGGACACTTTCCAAGGCGGTGGGCCGGGGATCAATGGCGGAGATGGGGTGGTGGGAATGAATTTACGACCGTCAGATCTGGCGGAGCAGCCCCATGTGAGATGGGCCCCATAATGTCGGCTGATGAATTCTGATTGGCCATGTGAATTGTCAATAGTGGGACCCAATCTAGGAATTGTGATTAGCTGGCATGTGGGCATTCCTCCAATTCAATGCTCTATTCCCTCTTATCTTACGGAATTGATAATCAAATAGACTGAAATAGTATGATTTTTCGAGTAAAATGGAATATAAGTAGTTTCTTGATTTGAATTTGAAGGATTCATCCACTTTGTAAATTGAATGTTCAATGTATATTTGGTTTAAAATTATGATTTTTTGTCTTACAAGTATAGTTAGGACTTTAGTTGCAATTTCAAAATAAATTAAATCGAGTTAAGACGAACGTGGTGACAACAATTAGCAGCAAATGAAGTCTCTAAAAAATTTCAATACGATACTATACATATAAAGATGATATTCATTTACCACCGACGGTGGAATTTTTCAGTAATTCTTGATTTTTGTAGTCGATAATGGAGAAAAATAATCAATTGTATCTATGATAGAAAATAATGTGACGATGTTATTAATGTTATATAACCCGTCGCTTCTTTATAAATAATAATAGAAAATATTTTCTATTTATATGGATAGTTCAAGTTGATTGGTATTTGTATAAAATTTCCATCCACAAATTAATTCTAGATAATTAATTATGACATGAATTGCTAAATAAATTTAGGACATCCATTTTAATAATTTGATGTGTCTCAACAAAACTCGCTAACGTAGACTGGATACAAACCATTAACTTGCATATCAAGAAAAATTCTTGCTTTAATTGAATAAAGCAGTCAATCTATCATTATTGAAAAATTATAATTAACTTATGCATGAATTATTATGGTTAATTAAATGTGACTTAAACTCAATCGCTACAAATAAAAACGTTGTGAAATAATGCTTGTCAACATTATCACCACAAAATGCGAGAAACACATTATGTTACTCGACTAACACATTATCCCAAACAAGCCTTTAAACTCTTCCAATCTCTTTCGCAATCAAAAATAGTCAACACGCGCTCCTATTTGGACTAATTTAAGACAAAACACTCATCTTTGCAAATTTTAATGTGAGTAACACATTATGTTATTCGACAAACTCAAGCAGCTCTTATTCTACTTTCATTGTCAAAAATAGTCAACACACGTTGAGAGGGAAACAGCCCAAATCAGCAGTTAACGCCCCTAAATGATAGCTCAATGATAAAGAAGGTCGGTGACCGGGAAGGACGCACGTCTTGTGTACCAGTTATCGTGCCCACAGTAAACGCTAGGTAGCCAAGTGCTATTCCACACGTATAACTAAGATTTTAAAAATTGGAAAAATAAATAAATAAACATCATATTGAGACTAATCTAAGACAAAACACTCATATTGGCAAATTTTAAGAACAACAAACAAGAAGGCCCTTTCTTGAATTCCTTAAAATTGTCCGAGTCGCTTTTTCTATAGAAAAATGCTATTCATTCCCAGTGGGGATGAATCCCCAGTCTATATGGATGTAAATGATTGGTTAAATAATAGGTGAAATTAAATAACTTATTTAATTTCACATATCATTTAATGCCACATTAACGCCACGTAGACTGGGGATGCATCCCCAGTGGGGATGAATAACATTAGACGAACGTGGTGACAACAATTAGAAGCGAATGAAGTCTCTAAAAAATTTCAATACGATACTATAAATATAAAGATGATATTTATTTACCAATGACGGTTGAATTCTTCCGTAATTCTTGATTTTTGTAGTCGATAATGGAGAAAAACAATCAATTCTATCGATGATAGAAAATAATGTGACGATGTTATTAATGTTATATAACCCGTCGCTTCTTTATAAATAATAATAGAAAATATTTTCTATTTATATGGATAGTTCAAGTTGATTGGTATTTGTATGAAATTTCATCCACAAATTAATTCTAGAGAATTAATTATGAGATGAATTGCTAAATAAATTTAGGTCATCCATTTTAATAATTTGATGTGTCTCAACAAAACTCGCTAACGTAGACTGGATACAAACCATTAACTTGCATATCAAGAAAAATTCTTGCATTAATTGAATAAAGCAATCAATCTATCATTATTGAAAAATTATAATTAACTTATGCATGAATTATTATGGTTAATTAAATGTGACTTAAACTCAATCGCTACAAATAAAAACGTCGTGAAATAACGCTTGTCAACATTATCACCACAAAATGCGAGTAACACATTATGTTACTCGACTAACACATTATCCCAAACAAGCCTTTAAACTCTTCCAATCTCTTTCGCAATCAAAAATAGTCAACACGCGCTCCTATTTGGACTAATTTAAGACAGAACACTCATCTTTGCAAATTTTAATGTGATTAACACATTATGTTATTCGACAAACTCAAGCAGCTCTTATTCTATTTTCATCGTCAAAAATAGTCAACACACGTTGAGAGGGAAACGGCCCATATCAGCAGTTAAGGCCCCTAAATGATAGCTCAATGATAAAGAAGGTCGGTGACCGGGAAGGACACACCTCTGGTGTACCAGTTATCGTGCCCACAGTAAACGCTAGGTAGCCAAGTGCTATTCCACACGTATAACTAAGATTTTAAATTTTGGAAAAATAAATAAATAAACCTCATATTGAGACTAATCTAAGACAAAACACTCATATTTGCAAATTTTAAGAACCACAAACAAGAAGGCCCTTTCTTGAATTCCTTAAAATTGTCCGAGTCGCTTTTTCTATAGAAAAATGCTATTCATTCTCAGTGGGGATGAATCCCCCAATTAATGTGGATGTAAATGATTGGTTAAATAATAGGTGAAATTAAATAACTTATTTAATTTCACCTATCATTTAATGCCACATTAACGTCACGTAGACTGGGGATGCATCCCCAGTGGGGATGAATAACATTTATTTTTTCTATATATTTTCATAGTAAAAAGATTACATGCGTACGAAAAAACTTCTTTCGACCAATCACGACAAATCCCTCGTATGGACTAGAAACAAAAGGGACCCTTTATTAAGTTGATTCGTTAGGCTTAGGAATTTATTGGTGTTTATCCATTACTTTCAATTTCTATGCCACACATCTACTTATGGTCTATGGATCTTCATAGTGCCACTGGACAGGACTTTAAAAAATTTAAAACATATTCGAGCCCTTGTTTGTTTCCTATTTTCTGTGCAAAAGTATAAAAAATGTAACCGTTGTCATTGAAAATATGTGAGGAACAAGTCAAATGTTTTGACTGGACTAACGTTTGAATTTCTTCTACAAATGAGGAATTAATAGAAAACAAACAAGGGCTGAATAATTTTCTGAAAGCGCTTTATCTAGTTAAAAGATTTTTAAGAAGAAGCTCATCTAAATTAAATTTTCTGAACTTTGTTTGTCGAATTGAATTTGCTCAAAATCGACCCCTTGCCAGCTTGCAACGAAGTATTTTTCAAAAACAATAAACTGAAAACAGAGAGTGACAGAAACATTACAGACAGATGATAATCTTGCGCCTCGGTGTAGGGAGGGGAGTGAAGAGTGTGCACTGTGCGTGTACAAGGAATAAAATAGAGACGGTACACACATGTGAGGTATCAAATGAGATTGTGGGCGTTGCTACACGTGAGAACACGTTTGTAATTTTCGACTTTTGGGTTTCAATATACGGCCCATAACAGCTAATGGGGACCCTACTTACTTCCCTTCTTGTTTTCTTGTCCACCCTTTGATGGTATAGTTATTACTCAAGTACTTATTACACAGGAAAGAAGCATACAAAAGTTTAAAAAGAGCTCTCTTTTCGGGTCGAAAATTTCTCTCTCGAAACACGAGATCACTCATTCTGGAAAATTCATAAATACAGAAACACTATAGACAATAGAACAACTCATCCATTAGCATCATATAGAACTAACAGAAAGTATGAAAAGCCAAGATAAGAAATCAGTACATAAGATTATGATGGATTCAGCTTGTCATACAGCAACCTTTGAATTCACCATATATATCAATGGCCATGGCTCCCTAGAAACATCTCCATGCCCAGAATTGAGGTTTCATATTCTTCCTGTCATCAGAACCTTCATACATCAGAACAAGCATTGAGTACAGAAAAATTATTTCAGCTCGTGACGTGAAAAAACATAGTAAGCACGCAGAAAAAATATCTTGGTTTGTATCTACCACGAGACTAAACAATATCAAAAAGTTGTGTTCACGACATATTTGAAAAGGCTGGAAGACAAAACGTTTTTAAAGGTTTTTTTCTTTACATCATGCACTGTAAGCTTAAACCAAATGTCTTCTGACAGTGAATAATATCATTTTCCAATTTAAATGCTCCACAGATCAGAAGCGAAATACTAAAGCTCGTTCGGTAAATTAATTTGAACAAGATAACGTGAATGCATCAAAATTCATATGTACGTGCAACAGCGAGTGACCAAAGAGTTCCAAAGAAAATTCTACTATTTGGAGAATACTAGACTTCATGTCACTTAGAAGTGATAGATTAGACATTATTAAAGAGATCTTTTGGAAGGATTATCCCTTCCCTGCCCCCACAAAGAAATAGAACTAACAAATCCTCGGTCAAAGGGTCGAGAAACTCAACACCACGATTCTCGAACAACATGATGCATGGGCTTCTTTTTGCTCTATTACGGAGATGAAAATAAAGGTCAAACCAGATTCAATTGTCAACTGCCCCAATCGGAAATAGAATTTGACTACCGATTCCAGAAGGGTATCAAAGAGAATTTTTGCAATTATACCAAAGAACTATTTCTCAAATCCATCAATTTAAAATGTGAAGACAAACTATCAATGCCCTTGTTTGAGCCCCATTTTCCCAAAACTCATTTTCAACCATACATTCTCTCAATAAAATAATTTTATACGTAAATCCAAAAAATTTCCGTACTTTTTAACCACACATTCTCTAAAAAATCACTATTCCAAAATCTATTAACCCAAAAAAATGGGAGCAATCTACCATAAGAGACTAGCACTAGTAAAACGATCTTGCAGAGGTTTCTACTTTAAATTCTAGCATGATATCATTCATGCCATGACAGAAGCGCACAGAATCTAGTATAGGCATTCAGAGGGGTAGGAATGCTTTAGCAGATTTCTTCTGTTCTGCTGTTAAAATAAATTGTTGCATTATGCAACCATCTGTCCTGCCCTCAAATGATTAAAATCATTTGTTAGAAACACATGCTACTACTTAAATAATAAATAATGTGGCAAAAGAGTATGAGCATGTTTGGCTAAGCTTAAAAAAAGGTAAAAGTTTAGATATCTTATCTTCCTTGATTTTAAGTAAAATAATTTACTTAATTTGAAATTAATTCTTGCCATTATGTCCAACTTTGACCAAGGAAATAATTGTATTTGTTAAAACTTACCTATTACTTCTATGTTAACTTTTTATGCTTAACAAACACGCCTACTTCGGCAGTGTAGTGAGTTGTAAAAAATCATAAATGCATGGTGGACTGCAGCAAACCTGCCTCCAGGAATGAAAAGTTTATAGCACATATTTCTCATGTAGACGCAAACACAAATTACTCAAAGAATAAAAGAAAGAAAATGAAGAAAAGGAAACTAAACAGAACAGAACAGAACAGAGAAGAAACGACAACGATATAAACTGTATTGAACTCCTAGACAAAATCACCTTGCGCATCAGTGGCATATTTCACTCAGGAAAATCAATTTTAAAGGAGCAGGTAGATTGTTTTGTCACCAGCATCAAACTCCAGCAGCAGCTTTGAACTCAAAATCTGTTTTTCCCTGAAATAATATGAATGAAATGGCTAATTATAAATAGAAATCATGATAAACCGAATAGAAGCAAAAGAATGGCTAACAAAATGAAGTATTTGATTACTAATGTTTCAGAAAGTTATGTGAACAGGGAGTATGTGTCAAATAAAGTGAGAACAGAGGAAATCAGATTTCGGTGAACATAAAATTAGAAATACGCCTGTCAAATTTCAAAAGAAACGACAGTCTGTGGTGATAACACTAATCTAGGCTTATCATAAACACGGCAAAGAAAATTCGAGTTGTAAGAATTATGAATCACGATTCATGAAAACACTACTTATTCTAGTACTGAGCACTCCAAAGGGCTACATAAGAATTCAGAGTTCTCTTCAACTAAAAGGATAATATTATGACAGAGAAAGCTCTGAGTAATGGACTGACCTCAGATGGAGTCCTCCGAAGCTTTCTCGTAGGTGTCCTCATGGTGACGAGTTCCTCTGCTGCTGTAGGGTGAATACCCACAGTGGCATCAAAGTCCGCTTTGGTCAAGCCAGCTTTTACAGCAACCGCAAATCCCTGGACATCCAATATTCCAATAAGCCATGTGACATGCATATCATTTCATGGGAAGATAAGACGAGAGGAACCAACCTGTATAATTTCTGGTGAATCTTCTCCACAGATGTGCAAACCAAGAACTTTGTCTGTCTTTGCACACACTATTAGTTTCATGAAAATCCGATCTGGAAGACCTGAAAGAGTAGCCTTTAAGGGCCTGAAGTTTGCTGTATAAACATCAACATCACCATATTCCTTTATTGCCTGCAAAATTATGCCATGTCAAGTGTCACAACCAATTGTAACTTTATCAGTCATACAAATCTGTTTGCTCACCTGCTCTTCAGTAAGACCAACTTGTCCAATAGGTGGTTGAGAAAAAACTGCAGATGGTACAGCCCTGGATAAGACAAGAAAGCTATATGGTAAGAAGAAAGCTAGTGCTCTTCCATTACATTCAGATTTAGTAACTGCAATAATAAAATGATTGAGCATCTTTCCCACCATATACTAAATGTGTTTGTGTAAGGTTCATGAGGTTTACCGATTTATCTCACAATTTTAAGTCAATAAAAGAGTTCGTCATGGTAGGAAGAGCACCTGTATTCTGGTTTTGTTGGTTTATTTGCAAAAAGAGTTTTGGCCAATGCCCCTCCTTCCATCAAAGCAACTGGGGTCAAATTTATTCTATCAGTAACATCTCCAACTGCCCAAATCGATGGAACAGATGTCTGAGAATATTCATCAACCTGAGGAAATAAAAGAACCGAAAGTTAAACACTCTATTATGTATCTTGTGCAGAGGTAGGTAAGGAGAAAAAAATCAGCCAAACGAAGATAATACCTCTATTGCTCCATTTTCTTTCAATTTAACTCCAACTGTCTCCAATCCTAAATTCTGCAATTCGATACATATTTACAATGCATCAACAACCAAAAATTCATCATCCACTCAGTGTGAGCATTTTTCTTTTGAGGTAGCAACTAATAGCTGCTCATATAAAACATCTGTCGGTTTATCAAAGTAATATCTAATGAGCCGCGGAGAATCCTTCTTTGGAAGAGAAACAGACCAACAAACTAAATTGTTCCGCATGCTTTAAAGGCACATCATGGTCTCAATCATATCCCCACTACTTACTCTAAATGTATGTGCACATGCATATATTAGAAAGGTAAGGACAAAAAAGGCAGGCAAAACCCATGCAAAGTGCAGGACTATACTGTACATAATGGTAATTTAAAGAACTCGAGAAGCCTACAAGGGATGAGCAGACGACACGAGGAAAATCTTAACCTTTGTATTGGGTTTGCGTCCTGTCGCAAACATAATATGAGAAAATCCATCAATGGTTCCTTTGTTAGTCTTCAAAGAAAGCGAACCATCTGATGATTTGATAATAGCCTGAGGTGACTGCTCTGTGTGAAACTCAATTCCCCTCAATAACATTTGTTCTCCAACGAAGTCCCTGATCTGCATAAATTAAAGAGGGAAATTTGATGGCTATTATTAAGTGAACGGGACAAAGATTTATGTGGTTGCTACCTCTTCATCGAAGCCTCTTAGCACCTTCTTCTGTCTTATGAATACATGGACATCACTTTTCAAGCCATTGAAGATGCCAGCAAACTCAACAGCAATGTAACCACCCCCAACTATGGCAATTTTCTTAGGTTTTGAGGGCAAATCAAGGGCTGCATCAGAATCTATTGCATATTCACTTCCAGGAATATCAGGAATGAAAGGCCGTCCACCAACAGAAATAAGAATGTTTTTAACTGAGTAGAGTTTGCCATCCACATCCACTGTGTGTGGATCCACAATCTGCATGTGGAGTTATGGAAGTCCATAAAAAGAATCACTAACTTGTTGCAGTGTCAAGATATGAGTTCTGGATAAAAATATGATAAGCTTGACAGAATATTATCCAACCTTTCCACGCCCTTCAATTAGTTCCACGCCAGCATTTTTCAGAGTACTCTTATATATACCAGTGAGTCGCTGAATTTCAGCGTTCTTATTTGCAATCAAGGTGTTCCAATCGTGTTCTGGTTCTGCTGCATATTTCCATCCAAAACCACAACTCTCCTCAAATTCATGAGAATATTTGGATGCATATACAAGAAGCTTCTTGGGTACACATCCACGAAGTACGCACCTTTATACCATTGTATGAACATGTGAATTATAACATATGTTAGATAAAATATCTCCTGTATTGTTATTATGAGCGAAGAGAAAAGTCATCCTAACTGGCTACAACTACTTCTACTAAAAGAGAAAGGAAAAAGTGATTGACTCTTAAATAGATAGATCAAATATATCGATATGAAGCATTCACACAAGCTTATTGTTATTGGCAGTTCACTGCGACCACCATATTCACTCTCCATTGGTTCATTCACCAAGGCCATATATTTTAAGAAATTTATATATAGAGACAACAGCAGCAAACTAAGTCTTAACTCCAACAAATTTGGGGTCGCCTATGTGAATCCTTTTCTTCACTCCACCTATCTATTGCTCAAGATCTAATTAGATCAAGTGTAACCACGCGAGGCTAAGTTAATTTTGGCTCACCTCTCTCTAGGACTGTATCGAATCTTGTGAATGAGAGCTTCTTCAAGTCTGTGCAATTCATGCCCACTACATAAGCCATCATTCATATAAATTATCCTCAACAGTGCCACCTCACTTGTAGGGATGTATCCTCATTATCATCATTCTGCCATGTTTATTGTATGGATATTCTATGTTTCAGTTATGTAGTACTGAATACCATAAAGGATTGTCTAATAATTCTAATGTATTATATTTTAACTTGATGAGTATATCAAATAAAACTATGTAGCACTTCTCCATTTTGTCTAAATCACTCTAATCTTCTGCATTACATCCTCATTACATTCCTAGTTTATATAAGAATCATACTTACATAACTAAAGTGATAAAGTTGTTGGACAATATGGTCCTAAATCAGTTATTCACTGTCATCTTCATTCCTATTACGAATAAAATGATATTTTATGTATTTTGTAATAGTTCTACTTGTTCTAAAACATTGTAAATTCTAAAGTACTCCAAACCTTTAAATTTCAAAGTACTCCAGAACAGGAAAAATTCACTTTTCCACAAGCAAATTATGAAATAGCAGAAGATACAAACTAAGGGAGGTGACTCAAAATACAAGAAAAAGTGAAAAACAATTCAATAATCCCCTTTGACAATTCACTGTGCAAACTTCCACTAGGCTTCACAAATTCACCAATTACAAGCATTAGAACTTGTAGAGCTACCTAAATCCACTAATAGCTACATGTTACGACCTCGTCTAAAACCTTACAGAATTAGAGAAGGTCATGTATATTCATTCAAATTTAGTTCCCCTCACGTACAGACCAGGTTTTATAATGATCAAAGGTTTGACACCATACCAATTTTGCCAGGCTGTGATACACATGAATAACATCGTTTAAGAAGCTTAAGTTTCTAGAGATGGGTCATGCGTATTTATTTAAATTTTGAATTTAAAAAAATCAAGTAAACTATAACAAATAAGGTAAACATACGTGCCACCAACGCCTCCGGTCAAATCAGACGATACAGTAGCAAAAGGAAGCTCGCAAACTGCAACAGAAGCCCCAAAATTGGCAGCAAAGCGGGAAGCTCTTACTCCGCCACTGCCAGCGCCGATAGTAAAGAGATCGAAATCGTACTTTCTCGGAGGCTCGACGGCGTTGGTCGAGTCGGCTCGAGTAGTGACTCGGCGGCAGTGAGAGCGCGTGAGAGGGTGGGAAAAGGATCTGAAGGAATCGAGATTATGGGGTTTATTGTAATGAGAGAATGAAAATAAGGGGTTTATTGGGAATTTGCATTTTTTGCAGAGGATTTGGAGGGTTGGAGAAGATAGTTTCGGGGTGCTTAGAGATGCTGCCATTGTTATGTTTTGCCTAATCTTCTTCGTAATTTACCGGAATTTGAAATGGGTATTCACTATTTATAGAGAAGGATAATTAGTAAATAAAGTCCCCAACTTTTACTATTAGTGTGGAAAACGTCCCTATCTTTTTTTTTTTACATTTTCACTCTTAATTACACATTTAATAGGACAAAACATCATTTTCATCCAATTTCTCATAAAAAATTGTAAAATAACAATTATACCCTCATATTTAAATAAAACAAAAAAAATAATTAATTAGCCCATGTTTGGCCACTATTAAATTCCATTACATTACACTAATTTTTTCTCTCTCTTCATCTCAACCATACATGCATCAAATAAAATAATAATACACACAAATCTAAAACTCTTCAACCACACATCTCCTATCAATCACTATTCTAAAAATTTTCAACCCCCCAAAAATGCCAAATAATGGGGGCTAAACAGGGGCTTAATTGCAATCATAATCCCCAATATTTTAAAAGAGTTCCTAATAAATTATTAAAAAAAGAATCTCTTTCTTTATCCTTCTCCTTTCTCCCTCTCCACCACACTACTACCAACTTTTTTTCCCCTTCTTCTTCCTTCTCCTCCTCCACCTGCTCAGTGGTGGATCCAGCACTCGGTGAGGGGGTGCGGCCACCCGTGCTGGAATTGTCGGAGTGAATTTTACAGAGGCGATCTGGTTCTTCGGGAGGAAAGTGGAAGCTGCTGCCACCATGGATGAAGGAAGAAGACGTGTAAGTGTTGGGCCATTTTTGAATACTTGGGCCATTTTTTTTTTTTAATAGTGGGCTTTTTATGTTGTGCCGATTGTTCTTTTTTTTTAAATGGCTGAATATAAATATTATATAAAACTAATATACATTTAAAACAATTGGAAATAATTTCTACCGTAAATCTAATCCTCCTCTCTTCTCCAGACCAGATTCCCGCTCCAAGCTCCAGCTGTAGCCTAGCTCCAGATGTCGATCGTGGCCTCCGGTATTCTCCTTCTAGCCTACTGTCATTGTCACGTCGGGCTTGCTCCAATCAGTCTCTTCTTCGGTTCTTTATAAAAATTTTTGCTTTTTGTTGTTTAAATTTTTTTTAGGTATTTTATGATTTATTGATTTATGAGTTATGAATTTGAAAATTTGAGAATATGTGATGTTAAAAATTAACAGGAGTGTGTACTATGATTTTTGAAAATGGAAAACATTAAATTGGGGAATTTATGATTTTTGATAAAATTGGGTTGGAAAATGAAATTTGAAATTTGAATCGAAATTTTAAAATTACATGGAGAAATAGATTTTTCAAAAAGTTGAGAATGAGACAATCTTGTAGCGATTTCAAAATAGGAGATATCGAAGAATGCAGCTATCCGAACTTATAGTTATAGTTACAAAGTGAGGTTGTATCATATATTTTATATTATTATTTCGGATTGTACTAAATTATATTTTCATATAAAGATATAATTTTTTCGTTTTAGTGCATTTATATATAGATTTAAAAAAATTTTATATTATTTAATTTAATATTAATATACGACATCACTAGTACGATCGTTAACTGTCGAAGGTCAACAACCACCCTAGCTAAGCGGAAGTCCTGGATCCGCCCCTCCTCCTCCTGGTGGGCTTTGTGGTATAAATTATGTGTGCTTTCTTTGATTCTGTTTAGATTTGGTCTCCTCCTCTTTTCTTAACAAGAACACACATACACATGCTGAAAACCACCACTAATTTTTAAGTCACAGGGACAGCCTCATTTATGGTTCTTGTACTCTGGATGTGTTTCAAGAAATTGACTTACACTTTTGCAGAAGGGGATTTGGGGTGCCCTTAAAATTTTTGTTTAGTTCTTTTTTCTGCAATCCAAATATTTTGGAAGCTCATTAGATTGCTACTTGAAATAAAAAAAAAATAAAAATAAACCATATTAAAAATCACTTATTTCGTGTTTAATTTTTCATTTTTAGCTCAAAGATTCCACCTTGGTACTTTGAAGGGTGATTTACTGCTTTAAGGGTACTCCGTACTCAAGAATCACCATTTAATCCTACATATTTAGGTAGTGTATGTTAAGAAATATATGATTATTT